ATGCACAAATACAGTGTCGCGTCCGGGAATTTTCAATAGGAGGGGATGTAATAAATTAAAATCGTGAATAAATATTAAAATCGTCTTCTCTACCCGACTCGACTATGGGAATCGGTAGTTTAAAAGCCGGGCCCTAAAAAAAAAGGCCAACACCTGATCGATACACCAAGCTTTTTCTCGGAAATCGTCTGAAACTTATGGTTTTCGATAGTAGATTACTCGTATGTTGTTGCGTTTTTAAGCCAATGGGGGGATGGGGGGAGGGGTTGGTATAACCCTTAATCTCCCCTCTGTACAAGCCACTGCACAAATATACTATACAGTACCAATTATGTTATAATTTCGATAATACTTATGCATACGCCTCGTGCAATTTAGATTAAAAAATAAAGGGGAAAAATAACATTAGAGGAAATTCAAAAAAAAAAAAAAAACAAAAAGCATGAAAAATTCCAAAAAGTCGACTTGGCCTAATATCCAGGAACCAAAGATATTGTACGACGTCACGACTTGATGTACAAAAAAAAAAATCGTGTGTATTACCGGTTTCGTTTTCAAAAATAATAAAATAGTCGTTCAAACCAATACGGCCGTACCACAATATTACAGTAACGTAAACGTGTACCGGAATCTAAAAATAATATTTAATTATTCATAAAACGACAAACACGGTGTTCTATACCGCACATTGGTTTTGATTTACCGCTAAATCCCGAGAAATTCCGTCCCGACGACGTTTCGCAGGCCGTCTCGGTTATCGCCGCCATGATATTATAATATTATGATCTCCGGGCGCGATTGTTTCACCCCGAGTTCCCGGGGCTTTTTCGACGGCCGAACAAGAAAACCGACGGAATCCGCGAAGTTCATGACGATTCTCACGAGGACCATCACCGAAAACAAACGTTTGACCTCTCGTGCGCCGTCTGGTATCAAAGTGTTTTATCGATCGACCGATTTGTTTTTTTTTTTTTTTTTTTAAATCGTATTTCGGGTTTTACAGCCGCGCGAATTACACGAATATTATAATAATAATTTAAAAGTTTGTCGCGCGAGTTACGTAACGTCACATGTCTGTTTTAAATTGTTCCGTAATAATAATATTCTATATTCATCATTGTCAATATCCGCTGGCCCGCGCTCGCTGTGTACCGTAATAAATTGTCGCGTCTAAATCCCGCGTTATAAGTTTTTAGTTATCATTTTGTTTGAGCGACGGCGAACACCGTTCGCGGGCGGAAAGTTATTCGCGGTTTCTTTTTTTCCGTAATCGCTTTTGAAAAAAAAAAATAATAATAATAATAATGAAAAAAATGTCCGGTCCAAAATTCCATCAATCTTTTTTCACCGCCCGCGCAAATACAAATCCTTCGAATAACGCGCGCGTGCCGAAATTTTTCCGATTTAAACAAACGTAATTCGCGGTGCGACGGCGCGCGCAGTCATCATTCGACATTTCATCATTTCCAGCCGGTCTTATAACAATAAATATGTCTCTCGGTTTTTTTTTTTTTTTTTTTTTCGTTATTCGTTCGCCCCTCCGTCGCGTTAAATAAACGCAAATAATCGATTATTATTCAAATGACGTGCGTTGTTTTTTTTTTTTTTTTTCAAGGGTGGTTATCATTCCGGTCGGAAATATTATTCGATTTTAATATAGAATGATGATGCCGTCGTCGTCGTCGGCAGTGTTGAGACGTTTGTCACGAGTGAAAAATTATATCTACACACACACGGATATACGTACAAGACGAAAGCTGATTTCGCCGACGTCGTCTATAGACGAACAGATAGAATTGTATAAATATATATATATTACAACAGATAAGATGATAATATAGGCAAGTGTTAATCTATCTAAAGACGAGAAAATTGATTGGTTTTTTTTCTTTTGACCGTTTTAGATTTAGCCGATGCACATCGCAGAAAGTGTTTTTTCGTTCATCCGAGTGATTTTCATAATAATTGCCAAGACCCGGTGAAAACGTTGGAACGTTTACGGCGTAACGGTTCCATTATTTTTTCTTTTGTTTTTCTTTTTTTTTTCTTACGATTCGTGAGGTATAACAGAAATCTCGCTCCGAATGTCCAGAGTAGCTAGGAAAAAACGTCCGGCCATAGTTCGGTGTGTCAGAGACGTGTGTCGTTGTTTGATTTTCCGTTCGGTTTTCTTACACAATTTTTGATTTTCCGTTCGGTTTTCTTACACAATTTTTGAAAAGCCCGGGGGACGGGGGAAACGCGAGAAAAACAAGAAAATCATATGAGCGCGGCACTAACGGTTTCGTCGATTCGTATTTTGTTTTGAGATTCTGAGCGGAACGACACGGAGCTCGTGGTTTACACGCGACGGTGTTATTTTATTATCGTTGTTTGTTTTTCCCGCGGACATATTTTCCACCGGCGCCATTACCGACCGGATATCGGGGACCGGGGAGTTGCCGGACGGACGTTCGTCTTTTCGATTTTCACGGGAGTTTTCCGAACGGGCGAACGGGAATTACGCGTTAAAACCGACCGCTGTCGGCACGCCCGCCGCGGCCGGCAGTGTCGGTTATATTTTTCGTTTCGTTTACGCGCCGGCGTGTGCACCGGCCGCCGCCGAGCGACGCGCGGGACCCGGACACTGCCCCTGACGGGGGGGGGAAAAAACAGAATAAAATAAATAAATAAAAACCCATTCCGTTACGCCCCTGCAGGTTACAACGGTATACGGCCGCCGCCGCGGGCGTACCGTTGTGTTTACGTTGAAACGTCGTCGTCGTCGTCGTCGCGGTCGCGGTCGTCGTGAATATTGTTGTCGTCCGCCGCAGAAATAACGCGCGCGCGCGCGCACACACGGGCACCCCGTCTACACGCGAACGACGCACACACGCGCGCGCGCCGCGCGCCGTTCGCTCGCCCGCTCGCGTAGGTACGGAAACTTGTTTGACTAGGCACGGCCGGTCGCCCGCCGCCGCCGCCGCCGCCGCCGCCGCCGCTACACACGAGCGTATTATACGCGGGCAAGAATCGGAATAGAGGAAAACAAAGTTGATCTGGTCTCACACCTGCTCAAGATTCCCTCCGGTATCCGCCGATGAGCATTCAGTGTCTTCGGAGCTCCGGTCCCGCGCGTTTCGTGTTACGCCGCATACCTGCCCGCCCGTGCATTACGACGAACGCGATTAATAACGATAACGACGATAACACAACGGTAATCGCAACAATATCGTTACCGTTCGTTTCGCGCCTGTGCGTCCGCATATCTGTTATCCCGCGCGGTAACGTCGTCGGCGTACTGACAAACGCCTGCTGACATTGTCGCCGCCGTTTCGCGTCGTTCGCGTTTCGATAACCGATAACGAAACGGCAATTTTCGTACCGCGGTGTTATTTATATTTTCGCGGACAATTGACCGCGGCCGTTTTGCTCCGGCCGACCGGACGGGACGTCGTCTCGTCAGTGGTGGTGTTTCGGCGCGCGGTTTTCGGGTTTTTTTTTTTTTTTATCGGTTTTCGTATTCTCCTCCCGCCCGTCCGGCGCGTCGGGAAACAACAGTGCCGGTGCGTGAACAAAAATTAATAATAAAAACGGTGCGCGTTTCGTAACCGCCGCAAAGCCCGAGGATTTTACACCCGTCGTCGCCGCACACCACGGGATCGGATTTACAGGTCAGTGCAACGCCGGCTCGCAGCTCTTCGGTCGGGTCACCCGGGGGTTTTGGTTTTCGGACTGCGTCCCGGTTATTTTCCCGGTCGCGTCCCGAAAATGTTAAAAACACATAATCGATATTCCCGAGATGATTCGTTTTTACGCGCGGACTCGGCGCCCGCTTGGATCGGGCAAAAACCGGATTGTCCCGCTTCTTCTGTGCGTCGCGGATTCCGCGGGCCTTTTGAATTCTCGTAATATCGCTAAAAGACAATTTTAAATGCGGAAAAATACTATCGCGCGATTGGTAAACCGTCGGCACCGCAACGCGACAATGTCGAAACGTAATTGTAATCGATAATACTCGCGATAATATGGCCCCTGAAACACGATGGACGTTTCAGATATCGCGTGGGACCCCCGTTGGGACGCGCCGGAGAAACACCCGGGACGCGACAATCGGCGTCAGACGCGCTTAGCGCGGGGATACCCGGACGGGACCGTAATCGCCCGGAAGCCGTAGTAGACCGGGCGAGCGAACCTAACCGAACCGAAGTCACCGGTTATCTTCGCGCGCGGTCGTACCGTTGTCGGCGCATCACCTGCTCGCGCGATTCCGACGATTTATTACCTTTGCGCTGTATTGCGATTCGATAACACACCGCGCGATGTCCACCGGCATAGTAGCGGTTCCGCAGTGGCGGTTTTTATTGTTACGAACCGCACGGCACGTAAAAACGCGAGGGGGAAAATTTCGGATAAATCCTTATAATGAACGGGAGGGAAAAAAAAAAAAATACAATAATATTGACGGACTCGATATCGAAATTTCGATCCGTTAAAATATTGTCGAAACAAACGCAAAGATAAATAACGTACGCGCAGTGGTTGTCCGCGACCGCGGAATGCCATTTTATTCGGCTGGTTACCGGCAAACCGTACGGCCGGACGCCCGCGAAATCGATTATCACTAACGCCGGACTGTTAACCCGTCGATTCGCGCGGTCCGATAAAACGCCAAAAAAACGATTCCGCGTAACGTTCGTGCGGGGTTATCGTTTTTTTTTTTTTTTCTACAGACCGTCCCGGACCATCCCGGACCTGCGGGTCAGCCGGGGTCCGTCCGGTATCGCTGCGCTGTTCGATTACAACGACGCAACGCGATCGTTATGATAATATTCGACACCGGCCACCCGACATCGCCGATTCGCCGGCACAAACGGACCGTGTGCGTTTGCGGGTTCGGTCAGGCGCGGCGTTTCCTTTTGCCGATCCCGTAACGGCCGTTCGGTAGGGTTTGCGGGGGAAGAGAAAAAAAAAAATGCTCGCCGGACGGAACAACGTACACAATAATTTATAACGTTACGTCTGCCGGGTAAACGGAGTACCCGTACGGCCGTTTATCGCGAGTATTATTACCGTGCAATTTGTCGGGACGTGGGCGAAACCCGCAGCGACGACGTATTGCGTGTCTCCCGGTACAATCTTCGCGCGGCGGCCGCCGCCTCGGTCACCGTACACCGTATTACAGTGTTATCATTGAGTGTGCGTCGGTTTTTTTTGTTTTTTCCGGACCCGGATTTAAATCGTTGACGTCGGTCGAGATCTGTGTAAAGGAGATTTCGTATTACATTGACGGTTTTGCGTGGAGATGAAACGAGGAGTTTAAACGTTTCGTTTTTCTCTTCCGAACTACGTAGAAAAACGCCGAGAACCGAATGGTTGTTTCGATTGTCGGTTTCGACATTCAAAGCCGAATCGACCGAATTACCGGACTCGAAGGCCGCCGCGAGAACGTCGTCTGCGGTCGTATGCGCGGGTGTTTGCGCGCGGTGATATTGCCGATTCTCTCGATTCACTTGCGCGCGTACCTATGCGGTAGAAAAAATAAAAACACCGACAAATCGTATCGTACCTCGCCCGTCAGTAAACGCCGAGCCGGACGAAGTGCGCCCGCGACACGAATGCGCAAACAACGTTCCTGTGCACCTTTGCGTTTGACAATTGCGGCCGGACCGCAGACGGCGCGTTGTCCGGCCGCGCCGGACGAAATGCCGCCGCGGACGGTCGTCCGGTTTTCGGCGCTGCCCGGATGCGATCGCGCGCAACCGTACCGCGGTTACCGTGCCGCGTCGTATCGTTCGAAATGGAAACGCCGAGCTGCGCCGCCGACGTCCGCGGCTCGATTCAAGTCGAAACGCCCGTTTTCGGCCGGTACCACCGCGCGGTTCCCCGACGCAGCGTTTCGCGCCCCCTCCCCCCCCCCAAAACGACAACGGGCGTCCGGCCGCGAAAACCGTTTTCGCGTTTCGCCTTTTTCTCGACGGTTTTCGCGTTTCGCCGGCACGCGCGTTCCGTTTTCGTTCAAACCGTTTTTACGCGAGCCGTACGCGCGCGAGAACCCAATCAGGCCGATCGCGGCGATCAGAACGGTATCGGGGTCTCCGGAACCCGACGTCAACGGCGTTAGGTCGGCTTTGGCATTTTTCGGCGCATCCGCAATGGTTTCACATGCGGAATGCACGTGAACGCTGTCGCCCCTTCAAACGCGTTTTCGGATTCGGAACGCAACGAGGGACCGGTCGGTTTTACCGTTATTTGTTTTTTTCCCCCGAGCTTTGTAGCGCCTCAAGAGGACGTCACGCCCGAATCTACTAGCTCAGTCCAACTGCAGCGGGTAACGCGCAAAAACAAAACTGAGAATAAGTAAAACTAGCGTAATTTCGATTTCAGAGCAAAAAAGCACTCGTTATGAATTGTTTTATCAAATACATTTTAACAATATTTCGGAGAGAATATCATGGAGTTTCTATAACGTTGAAAATACGCGGCTCGGTATAAAAGATAAAAAAACATGTTTTTTTTTTTTTTAAAACAATTGTAACTTAATTCAAAAAAAAAAACACCCGCGTCGTTCTTTCCGAAATATCGTTGTCTTTAAAATATTTCATAACAGGTACCTTTCACTCGCTCTAATCAAGCTGGTTTTACATATTCCGCGTAAACGTTGTTTTTGCATACGTTACCCGGTCGTCGGACCGAAACAGTCTGCGGACGCGGATATAACGTCCCTCTTAAATGCACAAGTCCCGACGGTCTGATAATACAGCCGAACGATTCTGCGGACTGGCGTGAGAAGCACCGACGTAAATTTTTTGAGAAAAAACAGTTGGAAATAAAATTGAAAAAAAGTTTACAATTGTTTATTTTCTTATGAAAAATCGTTTGAGTTTTTGTAAAAATTACCAATTACACAAATGTCATTTATGTGTAACAGAAAATTACCCGGAGCCTTATTGGAGGGGGAGGGGGTGGGGTTAAAATTTCAAAGCCCATTTTCCGACCGTTGCGAAACGCGACGTGATCGCACCCTCCTTGCGCCCGGCCACAGGATTATAACGCCAGCAGTAACACTGCCGTCGTACGTACCGGTTTTTTCGGTTGTCGTTTCCGTTTCGCCGGACAAAAAACGAGACGCACCACGATAATAATGAATTTAATACGCGCGCGTACGAATAATCGTAATGATCGCATAAAAATTTCGAACAATCGTAACACACGCGGCCGCCGTCCGTCCGTCGGGTTCGCCCACATTCCTCCGGACGCGCGCGCCGCTTGATGTCCGGTCCGCGTATCCGCGCGGGACACCGCACGGGCTCGCATTGTTGCATCACACTTTGCGCACATGAACGCGAGTTTTTTGTGCGGTATGTTTATTTTCCCCCTCCCCCTTTTTTTTTCCGTCCCTCGTTTACGCATGTAACACGAGCATGTTATACGCATATAATATCCGTTTGTTACAATAACACACTGTAACGTACGTATCGGTTCTAGCGCGCGTACAGGTGGGCACGGGTTTTTTTTCCCCCTCTCTTTGTTTTCGTCCGTTCGCGTTTTGTCGTTGCGTTTCGCATTAAAATTATATACCGATCCGCACGGTAGGTAGGTACGACTTTTTATTATTATGTTGTTTTTTTTTTTTTTTTTTTTTCACTCACTTCCCACAACATCCGCGTATCCGGTCCAGTCCGGTCCGGCCGCCGCCGTCCGCAGCGCCGCTGCAGAATATTATCGTAATCTCATATTTTTTATTCGAAAAGCCGTCGCTAAATGTCGTGTCGTAACGTTTTATTTTTATTTTTCTCTCGGTATTCGTTCGGCGAGAACGAAAATCCGCGCCCCACTGTTTTTTAACCCCCCCCCCCCCCCAGTCGGATTTCCTTACAGAAAAAGCGCTATCGTTGTAGATCGGAGGCGAAATCGCCGGTAAAAATGTCGAGAGAGAAAAAAACTAAATAAACACCATTGTAGAACCAACGGCCAATGTTCCTCGTCCCACCCGGTACGTGTAAAAAAACAACACTACGCGCGTTTCCTGCACGATTACGGTCGGATTTTTTTCGCTTTCCTGCGTTCCGCCAATGCTTACGGTTTGTTTTTGTATTTGTTTTCACGCCATTAGCACGTCTCGTCGCCGCGCGTGTGCGTTGCCGCGGCCTTGGCGTTAACGAAACGAATAAATCGCCGTTTTTTTACGCGTGTTATAATGTTCATCTTGCGATACGTAATCCGCTTTGTTATCTCGGCCAACGTATCGCTGCGGCCGCCGGGGCACGCGCGGAACACCTCGGTCCGATTGCGCGGCGCGCCGCCGTAACGATAATAGCAGCGCAACGCTACCGCGCCGTAGACGGTTTGCATACGCGCGCCCAAATACCAATATAACAGAAACACACCGACGGACCCGAGGCTCGGCGATTACCGCGCTAAAAAAAAAAAAGCATTAACGAATTGATTGCGTCGGTGCAGTAAAAAAAAAAAAAAATAATAATAATAATAATAATAATCCGAAATGGCCGAGATTGCGATGAATCGGTTTTGTTCGCCGAAAAAACGAACGGAAAAACACTACGCGTTTCGCGGAAACAACGGCTCCGTGCGTCGGTCCTACCGTAGGTGATTCCCGCCGCTGCCCGCACAGCCGACAAAGCCAGAGACGACCGTCAGTTATTATTGTGGTACTGTTCTGCCGCCGTTCTGTTTCTGACGTCGGTAAAACCGAATCGAAAATTGTACAATAAACGAGGAAATGAATCATACCGAAAACGTGGCGAAAAAATTTGCGAAAAGTCGCGCTGTAAACCGTTAGGTTTTTGAATTCGTACTCGCCCGGACCGGGTTTAAAACTCGCTTGGCAATAAATCCGAACAACAGAAACGTTGTAAACGCGACAACCGCCGAGCGCTATAATTACAATTGCACGCCGACACCCGTACCATTGTAATGCGGGGTCGCGGGGCCGGTTTAGGAGGACGGCACTCCGGCATCGACAGTTTCCGCCCGAAAACGCGGCCAGAGACGCGGCACATTTGCGTTCGAATCGGACACGTTTTGCGCCGTTGGTTTTGATATCGAAGCCGATTGACCAGTTACCAAAATTAAAGGCGAGACGATTATATCGTACGACGCAGTAGCGATTATTACATTTTTAAGCGAGTTATAATCGTTTTTAAATTGCGACGGTGAACACACGCACGTCTCGTTTAAAAAGAAAAAAATATCGAACAGTCGTCAACGCGCCCGGGCGTACACAATCGTCTTATTAAATTTAATTTCGGTTATTAAACCGACCTGCTGGTCGGTTTGCTTTGATATCGAAACTAACGGCGCAAAACGCGTCCTACCGAACGGAAATTTGCCGCGCCGCGTTCGTAACACAGACCGCAGATGTCGGCGTGGCGTCCACTTAAAGGTGCGCTGCGTTTAGCCGCGCGCGCGCGCAGAGCCCGACGCTTTTATAGGCCCCGCGTCTAGCCGTTGTCGTTTAGTCAGCGACAGTGATTTCACGCGATTATTATTCGGTACGAACTGCCCGAACTGAAATCAACGGTATTGTAAAAATGTGTCTGCATTTGGTATATTCGGAGAGCCGAACATCGGCCGGCTGTCGGTTCCGTAAAATCGAAAACGGTCCCGTCAAGTATTTCGACAGCTGTTATCGATTCAGACGAGCCGTTGCCGGGCCGTCGATGTCGGTCGGGTGAAACTCGCAGAGCCGTTTGACCCTGTCGTTTAGGTACAGTTATGGTTATTTTGTCATTCGCGAAAGACGTTATCGATAATGAATTCGATGCGGATGAATTATTATTTACACTGCGGCAGCGGGTAACCGAGCGAGCGGCGGACACCGTGACCGCGGACGACGAAAAACGCCAATCGCGAAACGGTTTTACGCGACGCGCGCCGTTATCTCCGGTAACCGCCGTCGGAGTGTCGCGCGGATCGATTTTGCCGATAGACGGGCCAAAGCGCGACGCACAATTTCGGAAAAAATAAATTTGAAAACAATTGTTTCACGGCGCCCCGCGCCGGGCCGCAGCCATTCCAGCCAGTCGGTCAATCGGGCCCCGAATCCGGCGTGCGCGGTTGTTGCGGCCGCAGCGGCGTGCCCGGGGATTTTTTTTTTTTTTTTTAATTTTGTATTTAACACGGCCAACGAGTGGAGGGAAAAAAACGTTTCGCAAAATGTCTAATTTGCTCGGTACGATTGTCCGTACACGGAGGTCGAATAATTATCGGCGCAAACGTGCGACGGTTATTGTTTTATTATGTAGATAAATATGTTCAATGCTGAACGGTTTACATGTGGTTTTTTTTTTTTTTAATTTTGTATTTAACACGGCCAACGAGTGGAGGGAAGCGTAGCTCGTTATAACTATTAAACACCACTATATTTCAACACGTGTGCAGCGATAATAATTACAATATCATAGATTACCGTCCATAGATAATTTGTACCGGTGTTCAGCGTTATTTTCAAGCGCGCGCGCTCGTTTCTTTTTCCCGGCTGCGAACGATTTTTATCTACCGGTTCTCAAGCGGAACGCCGTGTTTTCTGGACGGAAAACGTTTTTCGATCCGCCGGCTTCCGATTTGCCCGGCAGTATTCCCGACCCGTGGCTAAACGCACGGTCGAAATTACGGCGGCTGTTATCATATGGCCGTACCTCGTAGCCGGTACAAGCGCGTTTGAAAATATTTGCGCGTGTTTTTTTTTTCCAAAACACAATGTCGATTTACACGTACGCGAGTATAATACAGGAATGCGCGGGAAAAACTCGACGCATTCATGTTCGGACGCCATGCAACGTTTGCCCGGCACCCGACGGAACGGTGTCGCGACAGTGCAGACGCGAGGTGGAACTGTCGCGTGGAAAACACTGCCCGGCCGTTTGCTACTTGCGCGGGCGCGGTATTTTTTCCCACCCGGAGATCGACTTTGTTGTTATTTGTTTTTTTTTTTTTTTCACAAATCGCGACCGACACGAAAGTCGGAACGTCCGGCAACACCGGCAGATGAATAGAATACGCTACGACCGCGGTCATGACAACGTCGCAACAATAACAACGGTAACAGTAGTGTTATTATTGTCGTTTGATACGCGCGCAGTCATATTATTTATCGTTTTGAATAAAATATCCCTTATTATATTACCGTATATTATAATAATAATAATAATAATAATTT